GTTGTTGAAACACAATACACTGATCTCTCCTTAAAAACTGTTGATCCTTTGCTCAATACTAAGGGTTAAAAAAGAATCAAAGCAGAACTTTTTAGATGTACGTCGTTAGTTTCGCTTCATAGTAAATGGACATGTTGTTTTGATAGGCGCGTATTATATTCAGCACACAATTATTAAGAAGCACTTAACAACAACGATTCAATGCTGTGTAGTTTAGGAATTTTTCATAACAGTAAGCCCTGAAGACTACAACACCATCGTACTGAATGAAAAAGTTATGAAGTAAGAGGCTTTGAACTTTGAGAGAGCAAAGGTGCTGAAAGTTTATTGTGTAAGAGTTCTCTGTGTTAAACTGAGAAAAAAATAAAAAAGATCAGCTAATGCGAATTCCTACCTGGTCCGGTAAATAGGGCAGTCATAGCTGAGCCAGTTATTTTGCTAAAAAAAACTAATCCTAATGTCCCAAACAAACTTATCATTTTAAAGGACGAAGACAGACGAGCAGCGAAACAACACATGAAGCACAACACGAGTTCTGTGCGGAAGCTAGAAATGGTTTTCAATTTTTTAAATGCCGTTTCAGGGTAAACATTACGAAACTGATCACTCAAATCATATGATTGCTTTCTAAATATTAAGTCATTATTTTAGAGAGCAAAGCCAAGGTTATTTCGTCTTTATTAGGAACATTCAGCTCTCATTGCACTTGCAAGTGTGTTTCAGAAAATTCAAAAGGCTTCATTACAATCAAAAATTTTTTTTTTCTTACCGCGATATTACTCCAATGTCGTGTGTTTAAGCGAAAATCTCCAGGTCTCTACAGTTTTGGTGAAACTTTTGCAAGGGTCTGCTTAGGATCATGCTTATGACCACAAGTACTACGTTAGCAATGACCGAAAAATCAGAATGACCAGTAATCGTCCGTTGTACCTTTGCGGCTTACACCAGTCATTGCCAAGATTTGTGTCACAAAATGCGTCCCTGTTTCATGAATATAATTTCAATTTCTGACGCATTGAGAAATGAGAAATTTAAGGGACTAAAATAGCGTCCATGTTAATCATCTGACAGCAGACTTGTAGTTCAGTGAGCTGAGCTTAAAGAAAATCAATTTTGATTTCAATGCGTTCATTCGCCGTTAAGCAAATTCATAAATCTATTCAGCTGGTGTCTACTAATCTTCATTTAAGGTTTAACAGTCAAACTGTCGAACTGAACTGTCAAATCGAAATAGAAGTCAAGCTATCACACGAACGAAAACGGATTTGAAGAGAATTTTGGCAAGGAAGAAAATGTTTAAACGGTTAGTGTTTTAAGTACGCGGTATCTCTGGTTTGTTGTGTTTCATTTCTTCTAAAAAAAAATAATGCAGAGTCTCGAGTTGACATTAGCTTTCTTAAGCAAATATGATACTACTATTAGGATTGGAATCGTTTAAAATGAAGAAAAAAAGAAGCAGTTTGCTGATCTTAGCTGAACGTCAAGGTAAATGTGAAAGTAGGTTACTGGCACATGTCGGATCCAGTGGCACGAATTCCTTGGTATATAGGAAGGTCTTAAGCGCGGTTATTCTTCCGCGATTATTCCACCTTTGTGATAGCATAGTTCTACGGAGGATGAGGATGGAGATTTACAACTGTGTAACTGTGTCTTGTTGAAAGTGTTGCTTAGTGTATTGATTTCTTTATATGATTGGCAAAATGGGAGTAAAAATTATTATTTAAAGTAAACGTGAATCGAATTTACATTATTCAGAATTAATAGTGATGTTCGTGAATGATTTTGTTTCAGATATATTTCCCGCCTTTAAGAGTTTGAAATTTAAAGCCTTAATCAACTCGCCATCTCTGTGTCTTCATGTCAAACGAGTCACGACTGCGCCGCGTTTTCTTTGAACGACGCAAAAGTTTCATCGACTACCTCTTAGGAAGCATTACAATAACTTAACCTTTCTTGTTTATTGTCTTGTAAAAACACTTTTTCAAGGTCCTCTCTGCGTCTACATCCAAGATGACGGCTACCGACTCGGAGAAGTCTGTAGATTGGCCTGCTGCCATCTTGGACTCGCGATGTAGGTGGACCCTGGGCGAGAGTTTGATTTATTCCCAATCAGATGACAGAAGAAGCCTTAATTTGGACATTAAAGGACTTGTTTCCAACAAAATGCATCGATTATGTCGCAGAGACAGGGAGGGAGCTCTTTCGTTTTATAGCTGCTACTGTGATGAGAGGACCGAGGAGAGCAAACACTGGCAAGTGAGACTTAAAATTGAGACCCCTGTGGACTGGGAATAAGTCGAAAGGAAAACTAAGATTTTACTAGACATGATGCTAAGAGGACACCATCCTAAAGTGAACAAAATGAGCATAATAACAACTACTCTAGGGAAGTAAGGAGGTAGATGAGTTGTAAGAGACCTGACGTTGCGCGAGGATTGAGACGAATGAAAACTGAAACAGACAAGGAGATAGTCGCGTCTAATGAAGCGCGTAGAAGAATAAAGTTGAGGGCGATGAAAGAAGTGCGCGTAAAAATGGGAATAAAGGAAAAGTACGATGAAAAAAAGGGAAGGAACAAAAGGAAGGAGAAAAAAGAGATGCACAAATGTGAAAAGGTGTAAAAAGGTAAAAAGGGCCCACACAGTAACAGTATGAACACGTGCGTCGGCATTCAAAATCGTGTGACAATATGGAGAACGGTAGACAGTGAAAGAGACACAATCGAAGAGTCGACGAGCGTTTGTTAAGTGGGTGGGGGCTTGAAACATGGAATGTCAGTACACTGTCAGCTGCAAAGATTATCAACTTGGCGCGCGCGGGTCAAAACAAGCATTGAAGTCCCCGTAGGATCTGTTCTCCTTGCATCTCACGCGAATCCTTAGAATATGGAGACAGACAATGAAAACAAAGGCAGTTTTTGTATTTTATACACTCTCTATTTCTCTTACACAAAAAAGTAAAAAAAGTACAATACAAACTGCATTAAATTGTTCAAGGCATTAAGTAAAGTACGCGCTAAACAGAGACACTAAAATGAACCCATTTATTCCCAAGATTGATCATAACTTAAATTCTCCTCGCAAAATTAATGCACCGACAAACATGGTGTCAATAAGAATTAGAGAAAATCTAAACTAGCGGATTATTTTTCACTAGAAACGTTATGTTTCATCGAATTCTTAGAATGAAGCAACAAAGAAACACATTCTTATCAGTTGGGAGAATTTTTCTTCACAACTTGGGAGTTAATGAGTTAATGAATAAAAACTTAGGTAAATGAACAAATAGCTTCAACTTTAAATACAAATAGCATCAAAACAATTCACACCAAATACACTGACATTATAAAAAGAATGTTTAGTCGAAATTGTCCCAGCTTGTTTTTTAAACCCTACGTTACATAATATTCAACCATGTGCAAGGTTAACTATTACATTTTATAGCAGCATATACCAATGGTAGTTATGAAAATCTGTCAAAAATTGACATCGATTTTTCAAAAATTTTTTTTCAAACAGCTGTGATACAGTATACCTTAAACTTTTGACCACATAACGGGTTCTAATTACACAGCGTGCTCTGAATACCTAAGTATAAATTCTTAAATCTAAGAAAGATATCATCAGACATCTCCAAATTATACTAAGGTAAATTTAAAGCCATGAAAAAAATTTGAACAGCAAATTTAAAAAAAATGCAAGTTTTATCCTGAAGCCCTGAACCTTTTTAACTACGGCCTAGATTTACATTTATTCATGAACATTTCCACCAAAATAATTCCCATGGAGGACTAAATGGCTTACTTCAAGTGTTTCCCTAATTTATCGGCGTAAATATTTTCCTAATGAAAACAACAAATTCCATGTCACCTACATTAAAAGTCACAGCAATGGAAACTTTAGTTAAAGTAAACTCTGCTTCGCTATTTCCTTGTTTAGATTACATAGACAATTTGTCTCTGTCGTCGTTCTCTAAAACAAACTGATGAGTGTTTGATAAAACGGACTAAAATTGATCAAACTCGTTTGATTGAAAGCAGGCTGTTGTAGCCAGCTCTTTGACTTGTTGTAGGCCTTTTTCCTGAGAAATTTCAATCTTTGTTTCAACATTTGTAAGAGTCATATTAGAAAAGTCAAGCGGGCGGAAAAAACAATTGTAGGCCGGGCCCACGGGACTAGAGGCTGGCCACACCCCTGAGAGTAGGTCTAATGTCTCTAACATATGGTCAGTAAATTCAACAACATCATCTCTGATGATTACTTCTTCAAATTAAGCTTAGAATGGCAATCTTGGCACTGATGGAATTAGATTGCATTAAAATGGATTGAAAAAAAAATGAAAATGATAATCAATTTTTTTGTAAAGATAATTGCAAATTGCAACAAAATAATTCATGACGTAGAAAAACCATTAAGATCAATTCACATATGGCTGCGAATTTTGCAAATCACATTTTTGAAATTAAAATTTCGCCACCTTTTGCAAATGACAAACTGTTTCTTTGCTTATGAAAAGCTTAGAGTATCAACGTAATTAAAACCCGATGGACAAGCTCCTGGTTGTGTACAAGAAAAGAAACCTTTAAATTATTTTACACATAACTGATTGCAATAAAGGAATAGATCTGAGTGTCATTTTGGCGAAACGAAAACCTCGTAGTCGCCTTCAACAACTTCAGGCATTAACAGCAGAAGCCTTGTTGCATCTTGTTCTCTTCGCAAGCATCTAAATTTGTAAAGGTAAAAAATAGCAATTCCACTGAACAAAATATACTAAAATAGTCTGTTTTATTTCTTCACCAAAGTAAAGTCACACATCTCAAGTTCCATTTAACAAAAAAGTGAAAAGTAATGAAAAATAGCCAAAAAGCGCCAAAATGGAGAAGCATTTAAACCTTCCAAGTTCCAGCGTCATTCATTTTCAGATGAAATAAAAAGTTTTCATTTATGTGATTTCATATTCAAATTTTCTCTTTCCTTTGCCAAGAAGTCAAGAGTGACGTCATCTCCAATCAGCAAAAAGGGCGCCCAGTGTTTGATGTCGCAGAACTTGTCTGATTCTCTGAGGCTTTTCATGGCCAGGTTCAGTGACTCGCTTGCTGGTTTACCGCCTGCAAGTTGTTGATAAAAGTATTTCATGAACTCAAGAGTAGCCTCGTCATCAATCGCCCACAGGGACACCACAAAAGACCGAGCACCAGCCCCCATAAAAGCGCGCGCAATGCCAACCACACCTTCAGCCTTGATCTCGCCCCGGCCGCTGTGGCAGTAACTAAGCACAACAAGTTTGGCCCGAAGTTGAGCATTCAACACATCTCCAATTGTTAAAATGTAATCCTCCTCCGTTGGCACAGTCGATATTCGGTCTGGGTCAGGTGTAAGAGCAATTTCGCCAGTTTCCATACATCCGTGTGCCGCAAAGTGAACTAGGGAAACGGAACTGAGTCTTTTCAACACCTCACGTTTCGTGGCCTGACTGCCAGTGATTGGCGTGATATTCAGAATTTTTCCGATCATTTCTACTTCTTTTTTAGCATACTCAAGCTGCTCGAAGACTTTCTTTCCCTCGCTGTTAGTAACCTCGGATACCCACGGATCTCCTACAAGTAACGCATCACTGCTTTTGTGATAATCATCTGGGCAATCGGCAATGAGTCTAAGACTTGCTAACGATGGAGCGACTCGGATTGTGAACGATTCACACAGGTATTTAGAATTACCATCCTTCAATGCAGCGTAAGGAGCGATCCACAGGGGTCCATCAGGAATAATGAGTAGCTCATCCCCTTCAATCAAGTTTGCCACCGGCTTCATAACGATATCATACAAAGTGCTCAAGCATCCGTCTTGTTGGATGTGAGGTTGAGGCTTGGCTTCTTTGGTTTTCTCATCCACTCTCGAACGGCCCTCCCTCAAAGCATCTAAAGATCGATTCTCGCATCTCACATTAGAACGAACACCAAGTTGTGTATAGACACCGAGCATGAAAGCCTCAAAGGACAGGCTAGATCCACTATTCTCTGAAACAAAACCTTTGAGTTTACTTTGTCTTAACTGAACTTGTTTTCCTTCGGACACAACCCAAAGATGGACGTTAGCTTCGTCCACTGCCTGAAAGACAGTGTTTGATGGAACGTTTTTAAAACTGCGCAATCTTCATCTTCTCCCTTGTGGTGACTTGTTCCACCACAAAAAAACTGGATTCCATGAGGTCGGTCAGAGCTTGAGCTCGTCCTTTTCAGCAACAAATAAGGCCTCATCTACATTACCTTGTTCTACGAGAACTCTCCACAAACCTATACGCCACTTGATGCTGATTTCGAAAATTAACTTTCCACTCATCTTTAGATATTAGAAGTACTCTCAAGGAATTGAATAAGTTTATGCTAGCTTGGTAATGTTCAACGGCTTTTGGCAGTCCACCTTGCAACTCAAAAACCAATCCTAATGAATAGTAGGCCGTTGCCTCCATGGATTTGTCTCCTACTTCTTTAGCTACTATAAGATGTAGGTTGTGGTACTCTATGGCTTTTTTGAAATCACCCAGACGGCCATGAGCATTGCCAAGATCGCCATAAGCAACACCCTCCCCATGCTTGTCTCCTACTTCTTTAGCTATTTTAAGATTTAGGTTGTAGTACTCTATGGTTTTTTTGATATCACCCAGACTAAAATAAGCATTGCCATGATTGCCATAAGCACCACCCTCCCCATGCTTGTCTCCTACTTCTTTAGCTATTTTAAGATGTAGGTTGTGGTACTCTATGGCTTTTTTGAAATCACCCAGACGGTGATAAGCATTGCCAAGATTGCCATAAGCACAACCCTCACCATGCTTGTCTCCTACTTCTTTAGCTATTTTAAGATGTAGGTTGTAGTACTCTCTGGCTTTTTTTAAATCACCCAGACTAAAATAAGCATTGCCAAGATTGCCATAAACAACACCCTCCCCATGCTTGTCTCCTACTTCTTTAGCTACTATAAGATGTAGGTTGTGGTACTCTATGGCTTTTTTTAAATCACCCAGACTGTGATAAGCATTGCCAAGACCGCCATAAGCGTTACCCTCCCCATGCTTGTCTCCTACTTCTTTAGCTATTTTAAGATGTAGGTTGTGGTACTCTATGGCTTTTTTGAAATCACCCAGACTAAAATAAGCATTGCCAAGATTGCCATAAGCACCACCCTCCCCATGCTTGTCTCCTACTTCTTTAGCTATTTTAAGATGTAGGTTGTGGTACTCTATGGCTTTTTTTAAATCACCCAGACTAAAATAAGCATTGCCAAGATTGCCATAAGCAACACCCTCCCCATGCTTGTCACCTACTTCTTTAGCTATTTTGAGATTTAGGTTGTGGTACTCTATGGCTTTTTTGAAATCACCCAGACGGCCATAAGCATTGCCATGATTGCCATAAGCACCACCCTCCCCATGCTTGTCTCCTACTTCTTTAGCTATTTTAAGTTGAAGGTTGTAGTACTCTATGGCTTTTTTGAAATCACCCAGACGGCCATAAGCATTGCCAAGATTGCCATAAGCACCACCCTCCCCATGCTTGTCTCCTACTTCTTTAGCTATTTTAAGTTGAAGGTTGTAGTACTCTATGGCTTTTTTGAAATCACCCAGACGGCCATAAGCATTGCCAAGATTGCCACAAATGTTACCCTCCCCATGCTTGTCTCCTACTTCTTTAGTTATTTTAAGATGCAGGTTGTAATACTCTATGGCTTTTTTGAAATCACCCAGACTTAAATAAGCATTGCCAAGATTGCCATAAGCAACACTCTCCCCATGCTTGTCTCCTACTTCTTTAGCTATTTTAAGATGTAGGTTGTGATGCTCTATAGCTTTTTTGAAATCACCCAGACTTAAATAAGCAATGCCAAGATTGCCATAAGCGTTACCCTTCCCATGCTTGTCTCCTACTTCTTTAGCTATTTTAAGATGTAGGTTGTAGTACTCTATGGCTTTTTTGAAATCACCCAGACGGTGATAAGCATTGCCAAGATTGCCATAAGCACCACCCTCCCCATGCTTGTCTCCTACTTCTTTAGCTATTTTAAGATGAAGGTTGTGGTACTCTATGGCTTTTTTGAAATCACCCAGACGGCCATAAGCATTGCTAAGATTGCCATAAGCGTTACCCTTCCCATGCTTGTCTCCTACTTCTTTAGCTATTTTAAGATGTAAGTTGTGGTACTCTATGGCTTTTTTGAAATCACCCAGACGGTGATAAGCATTGCCAAGATTGCCATAAGCAACACCCTCCCCATGCTTGTCTCCTACTTCTTTAGCTATTTTAAGATGTAGGTTGTGGTACTCTATGGCTTTTTTGACATCACCCAGACGGTCATATGCATTGCCAAGATTGCCATAAGCACCACCCTCCCCATGCTTGTCTCCTACTTTTTTAGCTATTTTAAGATGTAGGTTGTGGTACTCTATGGCTTTTTCTCCCCGATTATAGAGATTTATGACTTTCTTGACATCACCTGAACTTGCACTACCGTGGTCATGACTAATAGGATCGTTTTCCTCCATGGATTTATCTCTCACTTCACTGACAGACTGAAGTCTTAATGACAAGAAGATCCTATTGTTTTTGTCAATCTTTTTTAATGTTAAGGGTTAAAAATGTGGAAAAAACAAAAAAGATTATGTTTCTGATCATATTGATATGTAATAGTCCATTTTAACATTTGCGTGCTTGGTTCCCAAACCTCTGAACAAGAGAGATGATTAAGGGTGACCTTGTTATGATAAAAACATTGCTGCCTTTTAAATGCAAACTACTTTGTTATTATCGTTTCTAGATACTGGTCTCTATCACAACAAGGTCACCTTCAGCCTCACTCCAAATCAAAGGCTTGGCAACTAAGTACACAACTATAAAATGGCCCATTAGGAGGTCTTTGCATGAAAGGTAGATGATTTTTCAACATTCAGTCTTAAAGTCAGTTATGAAGTAAATCTACACTTCAAAAAATGTTTTTTTTCTGTGTGCAGCCTCAAAATTTAACGCGCAATATGTAGATTTAATCCCTAGTTTCCAAAAACTGAGCAGCACTTGCTCAATTTTTAAATTAATATAGCCTTAACATCAGACAAATGTTTTACAGCAGTGGAAGAAATGAGTCAATAACACAAATACATGTCTTTAAAATTTTTATTTGTCCATAGGAAAGCACATCGAAAGTTTCCGAGTCTCTAAGTAGTGGCAAAAGGTCGAAGGCAAGAAAATCTGCATAAGATATGTAAACATTACCGAGCTTTTTGCTTTGGCTTATTTTAGAGAGATCATCTACCCAAGTAACATGTATAAACTGGATAAAATTTAGTCTTCTAACCCTTTAACTCCCGTGATTGACCAAAAGAGAATTTCTCCTTACAATAGCAATACAATATCCATCAGATAAGTGTTGAGAGTAAAAAAGATACATCAATTTAAAAACAGTTAGTTAATGCAATACTGAATTCTGGATAAAATTTAGTCTTCTAATCCTTTAACTCTCCCGTGAGTGACCAAAAGAGAATTTCTCCTAACAATAGCAATACAATATCAATCAGATAAGTGTTGAGAGTAAAAAAGATATATCAATTTAAAAATAGTTAGTTGATGCAATACTGAATTCTCTGTACTAACATTACAAGAATTGTATGGTTGACAGTAAGGATAATTACAAATTTGGTCTGGGAAATTAAAGGGTTATTTAAACTAATGTACCAGTTATTGGCATGGATAGTAGACCTAAGTCAAATTGGCTAAAAGGAGTAATTTCATTAATAAGCCATGAGGTAATAACTTCTCCTATGTTTTTAATCACACACACACTTAAAGTATATGAGCTGACAAGTTCCCATCATAATTAATACCCTTCTTTGTATTTTCTCCCATGAAACATCAAATTATGGAAACTTTTTTCCATTATACCCACGGTGAAAAATGAAAGATTCCTTCAAAGGATACAGCTAGTCCCTTATCACACCAAGTGATTGCTTCTTCAAATCTCTTCAATTCAATACAAGCAGTGGCTCCTGTAGGCAACAACACAAAGAAGCATACTGTTACTGTAGCTCAATTCTGAGAAAAGAACCTGAAACCATTGAAATCATCACAGACCAGAAGAAAAAAAAAAGACAAAACAAAACAATACAAAAAAACTAAACGGAAAAGAATAAACAGGCCCTATTAGGTTTCAGTTAGATTTATTTAGCCTTACAGACAACTGAAACTTCTAAAAACACTTAAATTAGGATCACCAACTCCAACAAAAACACTAAAAGTTAGGTAAGTCCTGATCCTTCTTTTTAAAACAGCTAGATAGTGACTTAAGAGCGTGTCCACGAGAGCACCGGGCAGTCGTGCTACATGCCATCTTACCGATTTCAATGAAACTTTGTCAGTTTAAAGGGTCTACCCCAAAACTCAATAAAACAGACTGGTTTCTGTTTTGGTTTTTTCCGGGGGAAGATAGACCACCCCCCCCGGTTTTTCTTGGTTTTCACTAAGGAAATCCCTTCAAATAGGTAAAATGTATGAAGCTCTCACTGCGATGGTATTTAACCGATTACTTAGAGGATTTGCATACATATTTTAACACCCTTAGTTAATGGCCGCCGCGAGTATCAGTCAGTTTGATCGACGGCTTGTCAATCAACAGAGGAAAATATACGACTGTGTTTTTAGACTTTTCGATTCATCTAAATATTTTACAACTTTGAGGTCAAATATCTTCCGTTGCCAGAAAGCTACAACACTAATCTTAATTACCCTTTGTAAACCATCATTTCATCTCTGAAAATCATTAAAAAAATCTTTGGGCACTACCGTATTTTTGTCTTGGATACCTTTGAAAATCTGCGACTGTGACAAGTTTCTCTCAACTACACCTGTCACGCAATTCTTGCTCTAGGCGGTCACTTGACAAAATAAACCTACATTTTTTAGCTCTTTATACAAGATGATGGTCAAGAAAGGTGAAAAATGTAAAAAACTTTCGAGAATTTTTGTAGGAATGGAAAATTTCACGTTAAGAGAGATGCATGTTGACGGAAAATCAATGGGAAAATCGTAGCGTTTCTTTCTTCAGTCGTTTATTACTTTGAAGATTTGCTAAAATCAGGACATAGGGCTCCTGTACAGAACAAAACATTCATTAGCCTATACTTTGATCGTCTATTATGATTATCGCACAGTTTACAATAAGGAAACTGTAGCAGGAGAAGAGATTTTAAAGTCACATGTCGCCTGCTTATTGACGTACAAGTTCCCGAGTGTAACAACTTTGGCTTTTCCATACCGCGAATGACGGGAAACTCTGCCCCCTTTATTTGTTAGGAAATATCAATAGCCCCATAAATTCATTAACTACGCTATGTTTCCAGAAAATAAGACTGGAAAATGTTTTTTCAACTTTCCACCATCAAGAAATTCCACGTATAGGAATAGTATTTGTAGGGTTACTGCGTGACCTTTCATGAGAAGTAAAAATTGTTCATCTTTGTTTTTCAAGAAGACACTTCTAGAAAGTTCCTTATCCTTCTGTTATCTTATTTTCCTGTTTTTTGACTGCAAATATCATCTGCATTTGCTATTATTTTCGCTGATTGTCATGGCCTTTCCTGCGTGCACGTGCGAGCTAGTTCATATACAGGACTCTTTCAAGTTTCTCAAGAAAATGTGTTTTTATTTGCTATTTATTTCCATTAGAACATGAAACTAGGTCCTGATAAGTTTTTTGTCTCGTGACTCCCAAAAACTGTGTTTGCGACAACATCAATTGAGAAATCAAAGGCAATTACGCCTGAGAAATTCGCTTGTAGCCTTTTACCCGCAGAAGGCAACTCCATATAATGAAACGTTCTAAGACCTCTGTAAACTAGAGACATTGGGTGATGTTGAGGAGTGAAATACTTACACTAAATCTGTGACTCTTAAACGGATCACGTACTCGTACGTGTAACGTCCGGAAAATGTCAATCATGTATAACACCGTAGGCGCACCTGGCGTATTCTATCCACTGACTTCAATAGTAAAGAGACAACTTATTTACTATTTGTATATGAGCAAGCTTATTTACTCTACTTTAAAAAATCCTTGATGAAGTCTACTATTGTCAGACGAAACGCGTGGGAGATAAATACAAGTTTTTACTTTCTCAGTTCGTGCAGTGATGCTCACTACTTAATGTAAAGTCACGTCGACGCAGAAAAAAAAGGCAAATCCCGAACGGTATTTCAAAACACTTTATTCATTAGTCAATTTATGAACTGTTTCATAGCAGCCCGAGGAGAAAGAAAAATTGAAACAACCGGCGTATCGGTCAAATGAATTCCAATTTTTTCAACAAGGGGTTGGTAACTTCATTTTTCCTCGTAAATTTAAGTGGGGGTCATTTTTTGTAACAGCCGATCAAAGATAGACATCTCTGAAACGTCTCTGAAACTCTTTTTAAAAAGAGCGTACACTTCCGGTAATATTTTCCTCCTTCTCGCAACAGCGCAACAGACATTGTTAATCCTATGTAGTGTAGGTGTATCAGTTGTATTACGTCTTCATAGTGATACCATATAAGAAATCGGGTGTCTAAAAAGCCCTCAATTCAATCTCACTCGAATTGATAAAGTCAAGATGGTGCAGTTGTCTTGTTCATTTGCAACTAACTGTAGAAGCAAATGTTACTTTTCTCGCGCTGGCCAGGGTCGGCAACAGCTCATACCTCTAAATTCGTGGGTATACAGCTTAAAAAAAAAACATTTGAGAGACGTCGATGTATCCCAAACATGCGTTTCGTCCGAGATGGAGCTTATTCTAGCGCGTATTGGCTTATTTGGAGATTACGAAGGCCGCGATTTCACGATGTACCTCAAATTTCGTGCACAACTTGGTGTGAGATTCAGACCTTCGGGTTCGTAAATGCCAGTATCCTCCCCATAAAAATCGGAGACATAAAGTGAGAGAGAGATGAATCTGCAGATGGCAGAAGAAATCAAAGCTGGTGGCGAGTCTTTCTGGTGGCGGCAAGGTGACTGTAAACCTAAATAGAACGCGTACTGTATCTTAGAGTCGACAACGAATAAGGAAGAAGGGCAAGAAGAGCGCTTATCTGAATATCAGTTTTCCTAACTGGTGATTTGTGACTGAGATGAACTTTAAATCATATGATTGCTAGGGATACGCATGTACTGTAGAGGCGCTCACATAGATAGAGGTGGGCGATCCTCCCTCTGACTTAAGAACTGCGACAAGTTTATAGTGCGGACCAACTGGCACAGTTTGAAGCACCTCAGGGTCTCACTAGGCTCATCACATTAGAAACCTTCAGCAAACTAGTCGTAGAAGCGGGTGGTTATCAGCAACGTGCACAAATTTCTGAACGCGGGTCATCGCGAGAACTATACCCAATCCGTCATAGACGGAACAAGAAAGCGAGATATTCTTGCTAAAAGAAGGACGTATCAAGACGTTTCAGTCATTGGCTGCCATCCAAATGTACCCTGATAAAGACAAACACAGTGAAGCCGACAAAAAAATTCCGCCTAGGATATGATCAAGAGGAAATGGACTAAGACCGGCTTGCCATTCTATAGGGGACGGCTACGTTCGAGGTCGGACCTCAGGTAAAAATTCTGACGAACAATCCCTAACTAGCCAAGTGGACTTTGGATGGGCTCTTTGGGAAACACGAAAAACAGCCACCTTTTCTCAGAAAGCAGGGAATTATCTCCTAGAAGTGTGCTGGGCAAGGGAGGAAACTAGTAAGGCAACCGCCTCTGATGTGATTTCCCAAATATCGAGAGAGTTAAAGAGACGACACCGGCCAGAAATGCTGTCTAAGACTGACCGGTTGATACAGCAGCAAATCGCTCGATACTTCAGCCGGTTATCTGCCGTAACAAAAATTGGTTTATTGATGAGGTCCCCCTCTGTAAATATGAATGAGGACGGAGAGGCCGATGCCAATGATCTAGCTTCAGAATTCGAAACTGACCCAACAAGGCAGAAGATAAGGAGGGACCTTGCAAAATTTAGACGAAGACTGCAGGAGAGGGTACAGCTGCTATTAAGCTAAAAAAAAAGGACATTCGCATCTCACTTTTCTTTCATATTTATTGTCTTTGCTCACGAAAACAACTGGCTATGTCTTGGGATTTCATCAAGGCAAATTTGCAGGAAGGCTACTTGTCAAATTACTGCTGGCTCATTCTTATTTAAAAATTTTACAAGTCACGCAATTAAACGCCGGCAACACTCGATCTAGAGAGATGTAGATTTATATGTAGTAATAGAATGCTTGAAAAACTATGCAGATATTTTACGATCGAAGCAGGTTAATAATCATAGAGATCTGCAGATTATTCTGAAGCTGTTATCTAGCAGATAGCATGAACAAGGCGCTTGAATAATTCCTACGGAAAGTCTTTGGGTCACATAACAGATGTTAGCATAGCGGAGTTCTGTATGTAAATGTCCGATGGCGGTAAGTGACAACGTCAACACTATTTTAATTTTATTTTCGGGATAGAAGCACAGTTTTTAGTCCGATAGAACAATTTATATTTGCTCTCGAGCGAGAGCGCAGAATTTCTCGTCTGTGAAAGCCGAAGTTGTAGCACACTGGAACATGTAGTAATATAAGCCAACACGCAGCATGTGACTTTAAAATCTCCTAAAATGAGCACTGATGATGATAAACAATCAAATTATAGACTAATGAATGTTTTGTGCCGTACAAAAGCCATATCTGCTGATTTTAGCAAATCTTCAAAGTAATAAACGACCGAAGAAAGAAACGCTACAATTTTCCCATTGATTTTTCGTCTACATGTATCTCGAAAGTTTTTCTCGAAAGTTTTTCACAATTTTCACCTTTCTTGATCACTCATCTTGTATAAAGAGCTAAAAAATGTAGGTTTATTTTGTCAAGTGACCGCCTAGAGCAAGAATTGCGTGACAGGTGTAGTTGAGAGAAACTTGTCACAGTCGCAGATTTTAAAAGGCATCCAAGACAAAAATACGGTACTGCCCAAAGATTTTTTTGATGATTTTCAGAGATAAAATGATGGGTTATAAAGGGCAATTAAGATTAGTGTTGTAGCTTTCTGGCAAGGGGAGATATTTGACCTCAAAGTTGTATTTAGATGAATCGAAAAGTCTAAAAAACACAGTCGTATATTTGCCTCTGTTGATTGACAAGCCGTCAATCAAACTGACTGATACTCGCAGCAGACATTAACTAAGGATGTAAAAATATGTGTGCAAATTCTCAAAGTAATCAGTTAAATACCATCACAGGGAGAGCTTCATACATTTTACCTATTTGAAGCGATTTCCTTGGTGAAAACCAAGAAAAACCGGGGGGGTGGTCTATCTCCCCCCGGAAAAAAAACCAAAACAGAAACCAGTTTGTCGTTTTGAGTTTTGGGGTAGACCCTTTAAACTGGCGATGTTTCATTGAAATCGGTGAGATGGCATGTAGCACGACCGCCCGGTGCTCTCGTGGACACGCTCTTAACATATCTGACACCTGTGACTCATTGGACTTAAGGAACTAAAATATTCATGCTGAAATTTTGCTTTGCATTCCGCATTGAGTTCCTCACCCAGTGTTTTCAAAAGTAACCGGCGCCCGACGCAAGTCACCGGCTACTTCGAGCGTTAGCGCCGGGTACTTTTGGAAGTCAAAATTAAAAAAAAAAATTAAAAAAACATAAAGTTCCGATTCCTATGGGTTAAAGTTAAGGATAACATATTTTGTTCTTGCCCACTGATCGCGTTCCAGCATCAGAAATCGTAACTCTTTTATTCAACAGCATTCAACTTGGACTGGAAACCATTTGCGTTTTCCCACGAAAGACCGACATTTGATCCTGCTATTTCGTGACTAGTTTTTTCTTGCGTAAGCGAATTATGAAATCGTCTTCTTCTCCACATCGCGTGTTTGAATCTGTTTGTGAATTCGTGAGAGCTTTGTACTTGGCGCTTTCTTTAAGAAAACGGTCCCAGTCACCGGATGAAAAGGCAGAAATCACAGCCGCTTTTAACCCAGTTTGGGTTCAAACAGCAAAGAAAGGAGATTGCAGGTATGAAACACTTTTTAAAATGCAAATGTTCGCCGGGTTCCTGTTTACAATCCCCCAGTCCATCAGAAAATAAGTATTGGTGCATGTTATGAATGAAACATTGCTTGAAAACAATATTGTATCGCTTAGGTTGAATTATTTATTGTCAACAAGGCGATTTATAAGGGATGCTTTTATTTATTCAACGCTTGGTTTCGTGAGGCGCCGTTTCGAGAATGAACTGGCAGACTCTGGCGATTAAATAAATTTTATGCCGACACAAATTTGGTCACATTTAACTTTTTATATAAGCCAGGCATTTTTAAGATTTTTGTGAGACTTAAAGTTTCATTTCAAGTCTTCATAATCAGTAAAGCGGGTGAAACTGAATGTTTTACAGTTCTTTATGGAAAATTAATTTTATACGAAGCCGACACAGCCAGACTAGTCGCGACATAAGTCGCGCCACATGTTACGGCTCGCTTAACATATATGAGTTTTACTGAAATTGATTGTTTAGCAAAGCATTGTTCTTCTGATAACTAAAAAAAACAGTTAAAACAGTTGTGCCCGCGGAATAAAATTGATTTATCTAATCGATTGAAATTTTGGCTAACAATGCATTATTTATGGAGCTTGTATGTCGCGCTAAAAAATAAAATTTAATCTCCGCCTTTAACTCAAATTTTGTATACGTGAGGTCATATACGTGAGCGCGAAATAACTATGCTTGGTTTATTTAACGCGTTGGTCATGGGGGATAAATGGTACACATTGTCAACATCGATACATATTCTCACTGCTTTCGTTAGATGCACCAGACACGGAAGGGTCTTCTGCAACGCCTAGTACGTCCTTAAACTTCGAAGATGCCGAAAGTTTGCCCGTCAATGTGTTACGCGACTGCCAAGAAATCTCTGTGACCGCAGCCCCTACCAACCACGCTGAAGGTAAACGAACTTTTTTATTACAATTCGTGATATTTCTTTCTTTTTTTTGAGAGTAGCCTTCTCTAGTTGGTGGTTTGCATCACACACTGAAGAAAAAAAAGTAAAGAATCTTACATGTATTTTCCTCCCACAGATACTGTGTGTATACAGTCAGAGAGTGATATCACGAACAGTTTCACTGAAGAACAGCAGACGAAGAAAATTCATCACTACATTCTCTGCAAAAAGCGTGACTGCTTGGGTGTGTCTCAAGAAGAAAGAGCACGCATCAAAACAACCAAAAAAGAAGCAGATGTTTAATCACAGCCTTATCTTTAATAAGGATTTGGCCTATAGCCCTAAAGTACAGATGTGGTGGCTCGTTTACATCGAAGGAGAAGGTCAATACTGTCTGATCTGCAAGAAGTTTGATTCCAAGAATCCCCAAAACAAAAAGGAATTTTTTTTCTGCAGAACCAAGCACAAGGTTAAAGAAAGATTGCCTCGAGGAGCACATTGCAACAAAGAGACACAAAGATGCAATCACTGCCATTCTTATGAACAGGTTCTCAGTTTTCCAGAAAGAGCTCGATCATAATGCTGAAGTTCAGGTTGATGTGTATGAAAGAGTTTTCTATTGCCTTTACTGGTTGGCAAAGGAGGATATAGCAAATGTCAAGGTTAAGAGTCTGTTAAAGTTGGTTGCGAAGCTGGGGTGTGATATGAGTGGCTTTAATCACACATCAGTAGGTTCCTTTCGCAACATGTTGCTTCTTCTTGGTGAAATGATTCAAAATGAAGTCATTTCTGCTGTAACTGGGCCATTTGGGGTGATGGTTGATGACATGACTGACATTGCAAATTTGGAGCAAATGATTGGTTTCATCCAGTATTATAACAGGGGTAGCGAAAAGGTTGAGGTGAAATTTTTGTGTTTGGAAAATGTTCTCGCCAGCTCTGACGCAGCAGATTCTTTAACCATCACAAGCATCCTTCTGAAGTCATTGAGAAACACAGTCTCAATTTTGACTGGTTTAAAAGCTTTGTGTCAGATGGAGCAAGTGTCATGGTGGGAGAAAGGTCAGGTGTAGCTACCAGGCTGAAAGCAGATGAAAGAATCCAGTCGTTAATATCTGTCCACTGTGTTTGTCACAAACTAGCGCTGGCGTGTACCGACACTTTAAACGATCTTGCCACAATAAAGAAGATGCAGAACACACTAAACACCCTTTGGCAACTCCTTGACAACTCGAACAAGAAGACAGCCATTTTCCTGAAAGTTCAACTTGAGGTGAGTGAAATAACTCTCTCAAACAAGAATTCGCAGAAGAAGATAGCTAAGAAGCTGAAGAAGGCCTGTCAGACACGATGGCTGTCATTTAACGCTGCCGTTCAATCCGCTTGGGAGAGCTTCTCTGCCATCATCCAGTTCCTTATCAGGATGAAAGATGAGGACCCCACATGCCAGGGCCTGTTAGTTCAAATGAACAACGTCCGCTTCCTGGCTTGCTTGTATGTTTTAAAGCATGTGCTTCCTGTTCTTGACAACCTGTCAAAATCGTTTCAGCATTCTACTGTCAATTTCAGTCACCTTAAACCAGAAATTGTTCGTGCTAAGGCAGCGCTGGATGAAGTGGCAACCAAAGAAGTCCCCATCAAGCAATTTTGCCAAGATATCAAGGAAGGAAAGATGGTGCTGCTGCAGTTTTCCCCTTCTGAGCATCAGCTTGCATCCATGCGAAATTTGTTGCTCAAGTATGTCTCTGCTTTGAAGGAAAACATCGACCTGAGGTTTCAGAACACCCTCCCTCTTCTGGGAGCGCTCTCCATCTTTGATCCAACTCTTATTCCTGCAAGCTCTTCAGAACTTCCCTCTTACGGGTAGATTCTATCCAAGTTCTTGCCAAGCACTACTTCCCCGACCAACAAGACCGACTTTTGGCAGAGTGGAATATATTAAAGTACCACATGAAGGAGATGGCCATTCCAGCTGATGTAAAAGAAGGCAAGACTACCATGCCAGCAGAGTGGTGCATGTCCCAGCTAATGAAACAAAGATCTTCTTTCCTTTCTCTTCTCCCTCTCCTCATGCACATTGTAGAAATAGCTCTCACGATGCCCATAAGCAACGCATGGCCTGAAAGGGGAGTCAGTCGAGTTAAGCTTATAAAGTCAAGGCTCAGGAGCAGGCTGACCAATGAGATGCTGGAGGCCCTTGTTAATATCTCTATGAATGGTCCAGAGGCAAATTCTTCAGAATGTGACACCCTGGTGAAGAAGACCACTGAGAAATGGCTCTCTGGAAAACGCTACAATTTGGCCAAAGGGAAGTCAGCCTCAAGAGAAAGCAAGGGCAAAGAACCTGCACCACCAGAATTAACAAGTGTATCAACACAGACGGACCCACAAGTTGAAGATCGTCAGAGTCAAGAAGAACAACAAGCGTTGCAAGAGGAAGAGCAGGCCCTCATTAAACTTGGCTTAGCAAATTTTCAAGATGATCCAAGTTGTGACGACAGTGACAGGGACAGTGCAATGGGGGAAAGTGATTTCAGTGACAGTGACTTTTAACTAAAAAGAATCGAGCCTGAGTGCTTGGATGCCATAACGAAACTGTTCATCTGTATTTTCAATCTGTAGGAAAACTCTGACTGCAAAAATAATTATTTCAAAAGTTGATTCATGTTATAACAGGTCAATGAAGTACTGACAAGGGAAAGAGGTCAATTTTTATTTAGATGTAAATTGTAATATGTAACATGGGACTGGAAGGAAAGCATTGTAATATGTATGAGTAAACATAATTTTCAAGAAACTCTTGATAATGAGTCAGATTTAAGAAAAACTCTAGGTTATAATAAAGTGTACAACGACCTAAAAAATAACTTTTTGGTCCTGAAAATGCACCAGAATGCACCTCAGAGCATGCAGATTTTCAAAATTTTCTGGGGGAGGCCGCCCCCCATACCCCCCCTGCAGGAGGGGGAAACCCCCTCCCGCACCCTCCCCACGGGCGGCTTTGCCGCCCGGCGCCGCTGTCGCGGCGCAGTGGTGCTCCGGCTATTTTAAAATTTCCTCCTGATACTTTTTTCATTTTGAAAACCCTGGACTCACCCCGTTCAAAATAATATTCTCATCATGATTAATGGAAGTAATGGCATAGCAGTCAAGAGCTGGATTCAAATGTACATCAGGGTGGTCTCGACATCTTAATTAAAGTCAATTGAGACAAGATTGAACTCCATTTAACCTCATTTCACCTTAGAGTGTTGAGTTCTTTTGTTATTATTATTATAGCACAGCTAACATATCTAACCTCTCACAATTGCCTTAAGGAAAGTTGGATTTAACTCAATGGCTGCTTCTGCATCCCTTAGTGAATCCTGGTGATTTCCTGTTATTGAAATAAATATCTCTGATTAGCCATACATGTTGCAAACCAACTACCATTACTATAATTTTGGGAAAAACTTGTGATGCTCATTGATATCTGGGGTAAGAGGTTACTTCTTTGTATATTTGAGAGGCCAAGATAAGATCTAAATTTTCCCGGGCATGCATTCAAAATTATCACCTTTTTCAGAAAACTACTACTGACAACTCAATAGCTTCAAAATAGAAAAAAAAAATGCATATTAAAGCTCTCATCATCTTACCAAGTTTAGAATGTGCAATAGCCCTGTTGTTGTGCAGTTTGGCCTTCAGTTCTTTCTCATTGCAGTTCATTTTAATTCCTTTGGTGTAAAAATGAATAGCATTGATGAAATCTCCTTTCTTGAAGGCCTCATTACCCTCATTTCTATAAACATCAGCTATGGCTGCAAAGAAAAAATAAAAAAAAATTGTGTCAAAGTCTGTGGTTGTAGTTAATAATTACCTGTGGTTGTAGTTAATTAGTGCATAAGCAGAGCTGCCAAGATCTGGAGATTTAAAAGCTGCAGATTTTTCCTTTAGTGCCAGCTGCCACTTTTGCACCTGCCTGACTTGACCCATCCCCTGAAAAGCTTGGAGTAATACTGCTGAATCATTCACTAAGCTCATGAGAATAAAGGAAATGATCACCAACCTAAGAAGCATTGATCTTCAAATGAATTCTCTTTTTCAGTACCACAAGAAACATACAAAAATAATAGTATGGAGAATATGGATACTGATGTTAGGGTGTCAAGGGTTAAACACCTCCATATTCAATGATATAACACTTGCACTCTACTGGAAATTGATTGCTTAGGGGAAGTTGAAACTTTCAATTTAATGTTGCATAATATAATGGAAAGATGATGATGATGATGGTACTTATGATGCAAACTTACAAAATGAATGTTATATGATGATCAAATAAAGTCTTTACTTATTATAACTTTGTGTACTTGCTTTGAAATTTGAGAAAAGAAAATAACAAATATGTCATGGATCCTCTCAGTCAAAGAACAACATATTGTAATCATAGAAGAGAGTCGTGACTGGCCAAACATCCTTTAAGGTGGTCATGCAATGTATTAATATCATTCTCCACATCTGCTTACATTCTTGAAACTGGTGGAATAGAAAACGTTTTAACAGTGACTGAAGCCAAAGTTGAACCTAGCTCACCTCGTAAAGTGTCCTCATCAAAATCTGGAGCATTTTCTTTGTCAGGTAAGTCTTCATTTTCAGATGGAACCTTAATTGGACTTCTTTCTTTAGCCATAGCAACTGTAAGGGGATGCTTCTTTCAAAAAGTTTCTGTTTTAAGTCATCCTGGCCTGAAAAAAAAGATGGTTGCAAATGGTAAAAAATTAGCTCAACATATTACCCAATTGTAAACTAAATATTTTTTCCCTCCTGAGAAAGGGAGGGATACATAGACACAGAATCACAAGCAATTAATATTAATAGCATATTTAAAGCAGTAAAAGAACAAAAGATTAATATATACTGAAGAAAACAAGCATTAATATTTAAATAAACAGTAATTCACTTCTCATTACAATAAATTTCAAGATTTACCAAAGACATTCCTATGCAATTGACTGAAATAAATTGGGCAAAAATCAACATCTGTGTGTTTCAAGTTTATATAATTTGTAACAGTAGCAATTTAAATCATTTAAACTAAGAGGTGGTAGGTAGTTAGGTCACATCTGGATTTGAAAAGTGGCCTGTCCAGGCCCTGAGCTTTACTTAATCCTGGTTTCCTTACATGAAGCAACTGGGAGTATTACTACCCAACCCTGGACAGGATGCAAGTCCATTCCACTGTCATCTCCCCCCCCTTTCACCCCCCTTGGATTTTATCAGGTTTCCCTAACTAATGTTTGCCACCCATTTATACCCCTGGGTGGAGACAGACACTGTAAGAGTAAAGTGTTTTGCACAAGAACACAATACATTGACTGGAACCCAGACCTCTTGACCCTCAGTCCAGCACAGCCCTGGCTACAAATCCAGACCTCTTGACCGTGTGTCCACCTCACTAATCATAAGCCCACCATGTCTCCGCAAGAGGAGAGAGTTTATGCTGAATCATTTCTCATAAGAAACTAATTTTACAGCACCAAAGTAAAATTTTCATATTTGATTTTTAAATAGGGATTACTGGTCAAAACTTATAAAAGATGTATTTCATTTATTCAATTTCCTACAGTTGAGCTGATGCCCATATTTGTATAAGTGATTGTTAGTTCAACTGTTTCACTTTATCACAGGAAAAACAGTGAAATATTTACGTTTATGCATGCTGATGTATGTTGAAATGGATTTCAATTTGGTACAGGTGCTGACATTTTTGCTTTATAAGTATATGTATATTTTTTGTATTTTTTGTCTGTGCACAAAATTGATTTGTCTTTGATGCTAACTTTAATTCTCCTAATAATCATGACTGGTTGTTTTTTAAATATCAAATAATCCTTGCTGGCTGTCTTCATGTACAAAAAAATTCAATAAATGTGGAGTAGCAAGGAAGTCAATTGAACTGGAATTCAAAATAGCCTGTAAGTGTATATCGCTTTTACAAAAACCACTACAAACTTCTATATAACCAGCTGATTGCCAGGGCTTTACAGAGGTATATTGGCCCAAGGTTGTAACAGAAAAGGAATGACATGGTGCTAATATTCCCCAGAACCCCTCAAGAGAGCAAGGTAATTGTCATGCACCAATGTCACTTGGACTAAACTAGTTTACAATGAATTTACATGTTTTATGATTTTCTGTATGGTGCAATGATGGTCTATGTGGCAAAATCCTGACCAAGTAAGAACCAATCAGAACTTTACATTTATCCCAAGACTACCTTGCCATATAACAACATAAATTATCAACAAACACATACTTGGATGCATGCAGCCTCATGCAGAACTAAACCAGTTTTGATTAAAAAAAAAATTGATCTGAAACATTCAGTTGATATGATTATTGATTCATCGTATGCTGATTAGCAGATGACAAAAGGTAAAACTTCACTCAGACTCTAATCAATCATTACCAGTTGATGAATTGGATTCCTAAAACTCGAATGCAGTTAATTGAAAGGACTCTTGCAGTAAATAACTAGCTGAATTTGAAGAAAAATCAACTTGTCTCGATATTTAACAAGGAAATCAGTATAACAGTACAGTTTGGAAGGACAATCTAAGCTGTCTATCGAAAAGAAAAAATCCCTTTCAAACTACAGTATAAAATGATAAACATAAACACATGAAATACGCTGAAAATATTTATCGCTTTTTGATCAAATGCATCGTAAATACGGGAGCAAATTAAGTTGATACGTACATACCGTATTTACCCGTGTATAATGCCCGCCTGTGTATAATACGCACCCTAATTTTTGACCTCTTTTTTCCGAAAAAAAAATTTCATGACAAATACCAAGAATTAAAACTTCCATTTTTTCACTTAATTAACAAGAGCTGGGAATTCATCAATAATATGTTTACAACAATTTCTAACTAGTTGCTACTACAAATATCGAACGCACCGAGCACCTATTTACAAGCTTTTCTATTCAGTAACAGTCAAACGTTTGATAAATGTTGTAACTTGAAGTCCTTACTAATATACCTAAATTCACAGCTTGAATTATTATCATAACAGCCGTTCATAAACATTATTTCTACTCACAGTACTGCTGGTAGCTTGAATATAATTACTGCATTGCAATTGCGTGATTTAAGTAAAATGTTCAGTGTCTTTAAACCGACTCACAGTCCGATTCGAATAGGTTTTCGATGACTGAATCCTCAAGTTCATCAGTGATCTCAGTTGAATTGTAAACCAATTCATCTTGTGATCCATTCGAATTGTTTGTGATCCCACACTTCAGAGAGAGGCAGCGATCATTTCTGATGGAATGCCTTCCTACGCTTGTGAAATATACGAACAGATCAGTTCCTCCGAAGCCTTTTTTTGTCGCCCAGTAAGTTCGTGAATTGCATCAGCCATCCACTCCTTTCGGACTCCATCTCTAAATGGTTTGTTCAAAGATACATCGAGCGACTGGAGAAGGGAAGTTCGCGTTTGAAGGAAGTGTTCACAGTATCTGTCATGTGAGCTTCAAATGAGTTGTAAACAAGCAAGCTCTTTCTCCTCCCCAGGCCATCGATCCGTGCACTTTTACTTTCTTTGTTGCGTTTTTAACGTATGCAAATTAGGACGTGCTTGACAAACAATAGAATCCGTGTATAATACGCACCGCGATTTTGATGCTTGTTTTTATGGAAAAAAAGTGCGCATTATACACGGGTAAATACGGTAAGCCCGACATGAAAGCTAGTGCCAAACACGATTGTGTACATGCTCCGCATGACACGTAAACGAAACTGAAAGTGTTGCGATCAAAAGGGCTTGCACTGAATCAAATCGATAATTTTGATATCCTTTGTAACTCTCCCGAATTACTTATTTTTTCCAAGGTAAATGCCAGGCATTGCTTGCGAATTTTTGTGAATTCGACAACTGTAACTCGTTCAAACAAGCTTGTAGCTAACACGAAGCTGCAATACAATTAATACACGCCAGAATAAAGTAAAAGTTGGCAATCGTCGTCACTTAACTGCAGGAGCGTCTTTCATTGTCGGAAATCAGCGAAAGTTCGGAAAGATGAGGAACATTTGAAGGAGGAAATCTCAACTAAAAACATTTAAAATAAAAGTATTTACCTTACACTCAAAAATCTGATAAAACCATGCGTTCTTACCTCTGTCGCGGAAATGGATGGCACGTTTGACTATTTTACGACCTTCCTTCCTCAGTCCGTCATGAAAATGTTTCAAAGTCACTAAGACAGAGAGAGTACTAAGAAAGACTCGAAATGGAACGGAGAATCGCAACGGCGCGTTGTGAAAATGAAACAAAGAGTTGTTTGGCCCATAAGTCTGTGCAAGCTTGAAGCCGGAAATGCTCCAACTGAAATTGAAAGAAGAGCCCACATATGGACAGCTGTCACCGCCAAAAGAAAAAAAAATAGAATTGGTTTGTAATAACAGATAGCGTCTAATTGTCTTTTGGAGAACGATTATCTTATCTTAAGAGTTTTATTTAAAATACAAATGGACAAGTCGCATTTGGTGAAATGAAATATTCAAACAAAAAATGGTTTATACAATTGAGGAGCTGTGTAGCCACCCTTGTTGAACTGATTCAATAAAAACATGAGTGGCCAAGTGTTAAATGAAATGGTTCAGTGTCGAAATGACAAACGGTTCAGCTAACTGTACTTTGGTTCAGTAACTTGACAAAAA